AGAGAGAGAGAGAGAGAGAGAGAGAGAGATGGAGGAAGGGAGAGGGAAAGGGAGTGTGTGTGGTGAATTTTTTTTCAAAAGCAAGGGAAGGAGAAAGGCGGAGGGTTTTGTGGAGGGACTGAAGGCGGGAGGGGAAAAAAAATCCCGAAGCGGGGGGGAGGGGCAGCAGCAGGAAAAACGTAACGGAAGGAAATGTGAACAAGGGCGCCCCCACGGGGGAACTGGTACCGGTATACTATTTCTCGACGGTATACTATTTCTCGAATGTATACTATTTCTCGACGGTATACTATTTCTCGAATGTATACTATTTCTCGACGGTATACTATTTCTCGGCCTTGGTAACGAAAATGGGGAAGCTGACAAGAAAATAAGGTCTTCTAGCGAGATGTTCTTACTGCATCGTCGAGTCTTTTTCCTGGTACAGAAGCAATGAGCTCGTTCCTGATGCCAAAGAGCACCGAGTCATGGCCCGGATTTGTGTGGACAATTGAAAATCGCTGGTTTTACTCGGATGCGTTGCTGATTGCGGTGCAGATCTTGTTATGCCGTGCTTAAAGTTTTTTTTTGGTCGGGGAAAAAGATTTTTCCCGGTAGCAGTGAGATCGGCGGTTATCGATAAGGCTCGGCACACTTCGCGGGCTGTCGAACTGCTGCTTCGTTCTGCGGTTTGTATGGTAGGGTCTTGGGACTGCCTTAAAATGTAATTAATTTGAGAGCATAGGAACCCGCAATGTTTCGAATGGCTCGAGAGCCTGGACTCTCCATCATACTAACATGCTTACGAAGCGACCAATATTTGTTGCTGGTCACCTGAGTACTGTCAGAAGATCATCCTGGGTTCCGCTCCGGTGCCTCGGGCAATCAAAACATAAGACACCCTGCGACCTAGAGAAGAACCTGTCTAGAACAGAGTTCGTACCGGCACTTGTAGCTGTTATGTTAGAAGACTGTTGGCTTTAATGCACTCTGGATCAGACCTTTAAAGACAGGGCCAACCACCCTAAATCTTGTACTCCCGAAGATGAACCTTTCCAGGTCTATTCGGGAGAGGCCAGCCGGCTGGGGAATGGGAAGTTCGGGTACAACACACTTCTGTTGGTTGTGTTCTTGGAGAGGGAGAGAGAGGCCATAATCGTCGATCAGGTTCAGTAAATCGGAGCGTGGTGGAAGGAGGCAATGGGGGGGGGTTTGTGGAGTTTGGGTTCGAATGGTCTACTGTACTCGAGTACTGTACCATACAAAGGATCAGCGGTGGAAGGCATACCCCTCCAGCGGCCAGGATTGGAAGAACTATATGACACTCGATTACTTCAGGAATACAGGTGAGCTTTTAATATACACGGGTGCACGTGAGCCTAGGCCGAAAAGCTCATCCTATTGCCCCTTATTTCCCGGCGGCCTTCTTGTGGCGGCTTGATTATCGTAACGCCTCTGGGGAAACCGCACTGTGTACTACACACGGTGTCTCTCGCGCGGGAGTAGTGCAATGGCGGGCGTTTGTGGCTTGTTTGTATTGTTATTCTGCTTGGGGAATTTCGGTGAGGGTGGGAAAACTCTTTCCCTTGCTCTCGGACAAACCGTTTCGAACGCGGGACAGCTTTTCTGGCTTTCATGGGGCCCTCGAAGGACGCCAAATCTTGGAGCAACTTCGGACAAGCCCTCCCTCGCCTCGAGTGGGGACGATCTTGTTGAAGTGATGAGTGATAATGTGTTGTGGTTGGTCATGGAAGGCATGGGAAGTGGAAGGACAAGGTTGTCTACAGAAGTGGCGGGAGTGTTTTTCGGTGTTTACCAGTATGATAGATTTGTTTGAAGGCTGGAAGCGGATTTTACAGATATGTCTTTCCTTTGTTATTACGGATGTGGACAGAGGAGTTTGGACATGGAGAGAATGTTAGAGATGGGTGTAGTGATTTATGGAGAGGGCAGGTTGCTTTGATGATGTTTTCCTTATACACCTGTCATTACCGATTAGCGAAAGGGGAAGAGACGAAGAACACACCTTTCTTAGTGATCCCACCACAGATATTCTCTTTACTGTTCCGTTCTATCAGTACTGCGCATTCTGATAGCGACCACCATCACAACAGATCTAGATAACATACTGTAGTGGATTGGGGAGGAAATACACCCCCAGAAAGCACGATTTCACTTTTTGAGTATGATACCTGCCAGAGGTCGTCCGCGAGGTGAGGGGGAGACAGAGCAACCTGGAAAGGTATGTGGAGCAACATGGATAGCAAGGAGAGAGCATTGCTCTGCTTAATCGCTTGTTCAGTACGTGCGCCAAAGACGGCCACCCTACGAGTATTTATACTGAACAGACCGCTTCTATAGAATATCATGTATCGATATGGCTCCAATAATTTCCTGAACCCCGATGCGCCAGGTGATACGGCGTGTGCAAGTACCGTGAGGTGGAATGCAGCTAGAGTGTGCATCTGGCTCCATGCAACACATAGTCTACGTGTTGCACGGAGCCAGGTGCACTCTCTAGCTGCATTGCACCATAATCGGACATATTCATACTTTCCACCATACGGGAGTGATACCGTAACACACTTCCAAAAATCTCATGCCCAGAGGACGCAAAAAAACCTGATGAGATATTGTGACACCTCATGAACCCCCCCCCTCCCGACTTCCAAGAACTCCACCAAAAACCACACCACATACATAATAACAATGCTTCCACGGGTGACCTACCCTTTTCCTCGAACCATTTACCAATCCTACTAGATTATTTCCAGTACCAGATTCCGCTTCTATCCATCACCCACACCCCCCACACGATCCGCTCCCCTTGCTCCAGTTCCTACATGCTACCCGTTGCACAAGGCGTTGAACTTTGCCCCGCGAGCCTGGACCGCATCGCTCAGGAACACGTTTCATAGGCTATATTGGTATCCTAGATGCGTGTGTAGTGACCGCTTCACAGGCTATTAACTCTGGCATGGCACTGTATAGTACTGTGCATCGTCCGATGTGTGTCCATATCTCTGAAAATGGAATTACGCCTTGGGGGGGTGGGGGGATGTCAGATAATTCTGTTATATGGATTGGGGTTTTCTTATTATAATAGGATTGGAAGGGATACAGTGGACATGGGAGCGATCGTGAATGGATGATTTGAGGAGGACGTTCACCCTCGGTTCATTTTCTGTTCCCTTTTTGTATATGTAGTGGGAAGCAGCGGTATCATGGGAAGGTACCGCATTACTTCTGAATAGTTCGACGGTGGATGCGTACCCTCCAGGGACTCAGCACTTCTGCTGAGTGTTGGATGAGGTCTAAGTTAGCCGGGAGTGATCCGGCTCGCTTTGTGCCAAGGACTATCAGAGTGCGCTGCGGGAATAAGGCATAAAAAAAAGAGACCACCAACCATCCAGTACAGTTCTCGGCCCGCTCAAGGAGTGTAACAATCACTCATGCTATAATATCTCTTATCCCCTCCCCAGGTTCTTGAGCTAGTTCTCCGTCTAGCCCGTCACCAGCCCACATAAAATGTGATGACGTATGATAGCGTATTATAAACCCGTGTCCTGGCAGAGAAGCGCGAGTTCTTTCTTCAGAGAAGATCGTAGTTTCCGAGGCGGTATTGAATTTGCTAGAGGGGTAGAACGAACATGGCCGGGAAAAATGAGTAGGTTAACTGTAATCATTTGGTCCCGGTGCACTTGGACTTCCAAGGGGTCCAGGTTCCGGTCTCCTCGGGGCAGATAATCCTCCAAGGAATGTATCATAGCCCTAGAAGAAGGACGTAGTGTATGATGCAAACTATGTGAACTTTTTGCTCAGGGCGGTCAATAAAATGTCGGTGCAGTTTTTTTTTTCTTGTTAAACTAACTGGATATGGTAGTGTCTTTCTATTGTGATATTTATTGGGGTGCTAGTTTTGAGGACATACTGTGGTGAGTGTGTGGGAATTGATAGACTTGTATGGTTTAGGCTGCGGCTTACTATTGAGCCTATGATACATAAAAGGTTGGTGGTTTCGGCGTTGAAATTCACAGGATATCACTCGAGATTTAGTCCCAGGGAACTTCAGACCTTGTGGTTTTTTTCTCTCCTGTGTGGGTATCATAAGAATGTATCATATTCGGAAAACTACATAGGAAACTTCTAGAATCTATTTCGTTCTTTTCACTATTTGAAGTCTTGCACATCTCCCTACACCGACTCTCTACAAACACGAACACCCTCTCTCATCGCACATCCGATGGAGGAGCACGAGTTTTGCCCAATAACGTAGCAAATGATCACTTAAACAACGATGCTGTTGGGGGGAGAGAGAGTTAGTGCACCCACTTAACTTAAACTTGGAGTCAAAACCGAGGACATACCCGAAATCTTCCAATTGAACCCCCTCGGGGAAAACGGGCACGAATTCGGAACGGGCAACAGATGCGGGGTCTGCCTTGATGACCGAAGGGCTGTTCGGAGGCTTGACACTCAAGTCGCAGCCGGCGGGCCAGAGGGTTGGCGCTGGCCAGTCACGGGCCATAATGTTCATTTGGTTGCTCATGCAGTCGGCGGGCTGGGGGAGGGAGTCGGTGAGGAGTTTGTGAGTGTGGACGACTGGGGGGCTCGTCAATATTTTGATCAGGGGTTGGAAGAAGGGGGGGGGGAGCGGAGGAGTTACCCATCAATTGAGCAAAGTCCTCGACTTGGTCTATTAGAGGTTAATAGGGTCCTGATTGGAGTGTGGATGGTTTGGGAAGTGGGGCTCACTAGTATTGGCATAATTATCGGGAACACATGTATCGGATTTAACGGCGGGTAGAATGTTGTTGGCTGCATAGCCGTCAGTACGGCTTATAAGTTTATGTCGAGTTGGTTTTCTCACTGCTGTAGTTGCTTCTGTCACGGGTATGGGCACTGTACAGGAGAGGGGGAGTTAGAAATCTGCAGAGCATGAGTTGGGGAGAGAGGTGGAGCC